CACACACACACACACACACACACACACACACACACACACACACAGGAATGAAATATTCCACTGACAAAAAACATCAAATCCTGTCATGTTGGGATTTGTTCTGGTGGGGCAAAGACGGCTCAGTGACTTTTTAAGACTTGAAAATACTTGTGAGGTGCTCAGACTGGCCCATCTGGACCGATGTAGGAGTGGTGCATTATCCGTGTGCCCGAAGGCAACGAACGCAATACCACGGAGACGGCACAACCTCAAGTCTACCCTACATGAACTCCGGGGCATTAGAACAACTGGCAGCATATTGATGAAATACACATTACTCATAGTGCATATAGGGTGTTGCACTGCTGCAAAAAACAATTTCTGCACCGAGTCACCTGAGTAACTGGAGGAGAGGTAAACATGAAACGATGGGCTACTCTGTAATAATAAGTCTTTACCGACCATCAAAGTGTGACCAGCAAGACTTCCTCACATCAGTACAAAAAGAGCTTTTGCCATTCAAGATGTTGCCCTGTGTAGTGGAATCTATTTACATCTTTAAGAGTCATTAAAGATCAATAAGCCAGTCATTAACCATGATGTGTTAAAAGCCTTTGTGGGAGGCTAATTGTAGCTGTAGGTTTCTCTACTCCAGAGACTACAGAGAGGTAAACAACACTTTCTCAGGTATCCTTTATTCTATAATATAAATACATAAAAATTTAACTTTGGGGCAAGTAAACTGCTAAAGTGTGTAGATGCTGGTGGTTGAATGAAGTCAACACACTGTGAGAACAACTTCATAATCAGTGCTGACCAGATGTTAGTCTGTGAGCCATTTCCACTAGGCAGGGGGTTAAAGTGGCAAGGCAATATAGGCCGTATTTAAAGACTGTTGACTTTCTCAACTACTTCCTCTCTTTACTGAGGACTAACCAGAAGCATTAACACGGTCACGTTGAAGCCGGTTCCTGTAACACTCAAGCAGCCACCAGCACTCCTCATATTTCATATCTCTTGTAAATTTTAATATGTTTCTACTTGCACTTATTGTTGTTGATTGTTAAATGTTTGCACCTCCCGTCACGCCAAATTCCTTGTATGTTCAACATACATGGCAATAAACGGTTCCGATTCTGATTCTTGCAGTAGGATGTGCTTTAGAAAAACTTTAAGTGTTGAAGGCCAAAGCAATCAAAAGGTTAACAGGTGTGTGACAAGAACCGTGTTATCGCTAAAAAGGTTACAACATGAGAAAACTAAATAAAACATTATGAAATGAATGATTTACTCTATAAAAGTGAGGTTTCTTAAGGACTGCTTCGTGTTTACAAAGCAGGAGGCGGACTACCTGAAATGGGTTGGTAACTGCCAGACAAAAGGCCTTGACCTCCGACCTACTTCCTTGTCGGAGCGCTACATCACACCACCTGATGCAATCAATGTCGGGCAAAGTTGCACTGCCACGCTTGACATTTCAAATCATATCAAATTATCAGCAGCAGCGGATTAAAAAGTTACATGCGCGAGGTTACAGGAGCATATGAATCAGGACTCGCTTCAGAGTACAACTTGTCTCACATGACGACACGTTCTGAACAGATTACTGACCAACACATAACACTTTGATACGTTTCTTTATCTGCATTTACTCTGGTGTCAATTTAAAACATTAGACATGGCACTCTTTCACAGTCGCATTCTCCTGGATTTACAGAGGATCACATGTTTCAGGTACAAAGGCTGTTGATCCCTAGTTTCTGTACGACTCCATGACAGAAGTCCACAAAAAAAGTTTTAAAAATTGTTCCCACAGCCAGGTGAAAAAACAAAAATAGGGAGAAATGATAGCCAAACAATAAGACTACATGTACTCAATTAGGGCTGGGCGGTATGACCAAAAATGCATATCACGGTATTTTGTAAGATTCTGGCGGTTTCACGGTATTTTTTTTCCGCGTTAAAGCATTAATTAATTAACGCCGAAAAGAACCTGCCGGTCAACTGGCCAGCGTGTCTTCCGTTCCGTCACTTCCTGTTTCCTTCACATACATTCCCCTGGGTCCTAAGTCCCTCCATGTACAGCTTCTTATCACCCTGTATGTACCAACGTACATTTATAACAAATACCACACATATTAGACGGTAATCAGCATTGCATATGTGTCTGACCAAAGTACCTTTTGTTGTTTAGTCGTTCATCCTGCATCGCTCTTTTCTGTTCTTTAATGTAACGTTACTGGAGCGACAGAGCCTCTCCCAGCTGTTAGCAGACTGTTGTTAGCGAGCTATACCCAGCATGTAGTTTGGCAAGGAAATTTTAGAAATGTACATTTATTAGTGTTACAAATTGTTTATGTGTCACAAACTGTTGTGTCGTGGAGTTTTGCCCTGTTAAAGAGCATTAGTTGTGGGTTGTTAATTGTTATTATAAAGTTATGACTATGACTAGGGTTCCCTCAATACACTTAAGAGACAACTAGCTCCGACCACAGCGCTCTCAGCAGCGAACAATATATTTTGCTGCCGGTTGAAGAGCGACAGAAGTTGCCTCGGCTGTGCACCGGTATGACGGTATATGAAAAATTCATATCGTACTGGAAATTAAAACCGGTATACCGCCCAGCCCTATATTCAATGTTGCTCAAGTCAGTCCTTCCTCATCTGAGACGGTTTGAGAAGTACTGGCTGAGATAAAAAAAATTAAAAAAGGGGATTTGCTTTCTAGCCTTACCTTCCCAGATTCTCAGAGCAATGAAAGTCGACCACAGCGCCCTGTTGGTTCAACAAGCCTTTCCCTCTGTCCATGACCAACGGAGGTTTCTCTGCACGCGCTCCCTCGATCTCTAAAAAGCTTGTAACCACCACCGGACAACGCAGCCAAACGAGTATGGCAGTTGTATCTTTTGCACTTGGACCCCGAGGACCGACGGCTGAATCAAAAAGGGTGTAAAGGTCTGTTTTACTGCAACGCTTTAAAGCATCACAGAGCTCAACGTGAAGATGGTTCAGGAAACACGCAGGAGGACAGAAAGCGAGAAGAAGAGGTGAAAAGAGTAAAAAGAAGAATAGAACAGGGTTCAAGCCTGAAACACCCTCCCAGTAGGGGGTAGATGATAGAAACACTGCCAGGTTATTCCCAACGACGACATTCAACAGCCTGTTCTCAATAACAGGGAGATGGCTTTAAAAGCAGCCATTGAAATAGTCATGACAATAGCTAGTTCATCCTCTTTGTGTACCATGCTAATGAGGCCAGAAAACACAGGAATATTTGTGTTTGACTCGAGGGGAAAATGGGAACAAAAGCTCAGAATACATAATGAAAATAGATTAATAAAGTAGACTGTAGGCTTAATGCAATAGACTGTTTCATTCACAACCCTCGTCTGAGTGCTGTACCTGTGACACCACATACTGGAGAGCCATGCAGAAGGATCAAGTACGAATGTACTGGGCAATGTCAATCCATATTTAGCCAGCGAGCATCGCTCCTTACCTCGCCAGTCTCACTACCACCTGCCAAGTTTTCACTGTACACCTCTTGGCGTTGATCTGCAGGAGGAATTGCTGAGGGACAGCTGCGTTATAAATGCATGTTGGCAGAATCAAAACAGCACAGGTTCGCTCTTTTCTACAGCCATGTGGCCTCTCAAGAGTTATCCAGCCTGAAGGCGATCCTCCTGCTGGCTTAACAGACTACACATTTGTCCCGTGTACCAACAATGTAAAGACAGTCAGTGTCGGATGGCAAGCTATCCATTGATGTAAAACCACTGTTTTCCTCATCAAACTAGATCGTTAGTGTGGGAGTTGCCTAGTTTTGGAGATATCGGCCGTAGAGATATCTTCCACCTCCACAGACCGAGGTCGTCAGTTATCTTAACTAACTGCGTCATGATTTTTCGAAAGAATTTCACAAATGTATGTTTTGGTGCTTTGATCACTACAAACCGAGGACAAGTCTAATTAACTTCCTACCATACCAGTTCATCACGGTGACATTTAAGCAGGAAGACGGTGTCCCAGGGGTCCCTTTTTGCCCAGGACCAGTTAGATAATTACTGAATACACTGAACAGATAATACATCTGCATCACAACGCTTCCTTGTTCGCTCACCTCACTCCACTGCCTGTGTACATACCCATGAGAACTCTACGTTGTGATTGTCCCTCTCCGTTTTTATCTACAGATAAGACTTGCACATTGCTTGTGAGGAGGTGCAAGGGCACGTCTCCCGATAGCCATGTTTATCTTTGCTCTAGAAAAAGCACTCATGGTGGAAATACTTAAAAACTTAAGATACTGGATTGCACAAAATAAATTCATGCAAGGCTTACACTGGCCCTTTAGTGATATAAAAACAGGGCAGGAAACGCCTCTTTCCAATTAATGATGATATTTCGTTTATCATTTCAAAAGTTAATAACCAGAAAGTTAGGCATATTTGTTGAAATTCACTGGAAACTAGCTCGACATTCCAGTCGACAGAATAACACCCCTGGGAGTCACGGTGCTTCCGTTTGCGGTCCCGAGATGAGACATATGATCCCGGGAGTCCTGCTGCAGACGTCAGCTCTTCACTGAACTCAGCAGGAAGACAAAATCGCTTCTGTAAAGAATGCTTGTATAGAATGCTTTCCAACAGGCAACATTACTGGTCTAACAACAGGAGCCTCCAGGCTCACACGCTATGCTGACGGAAGTTACACTTCCACGTAATCTCTGTGAGATCACCTGAGACTTTGCAGAGTCAGATAGCGTCAGAGCACCATCTCCTGGAGAGTTGTGGATCCTTTTTTGTCACGAGAACAGCCGATTCACCCATCAACCAATCAAAACCAGCAGATCCCAAAGCAAAACAACAGATTGTTGCAGCTGGGGTTTATTGCTCCAAATGAGACAGTAAAGATGTAAAAGTAAAAATTCAACTACGCAAACAGCATCTGAGAACCCTAATCTGTGATAATGTAGTTTGTTTTCCATTTTTTACCTACTTTGAAACTAAGAAGACGTGCCAACATTTGAAAATGATTATGTTGGACGTAAAGTATGTGCGTAAGCTTCGACAGAGCAGCCAGGAAGGGAAGCAAGCTAGTAGTGATGGCGAAACAACACGCCGTCTGTGGCGCCCTGCCAGACCTCAATCTGCAGGAGAACCGTGTGTGTGCGTGTGCCAGCCAAGTGGAACAGAGCGTGTCTGTGTACATGCGTTACAGAACAACTGTGCGAGTGGGAAGTCATGCAGCCTCGTGCATGCAGCAGCTCCCTCCACTTCCTCAGTGCTAACTGGACGCAGGAGACAGAGGGGGTCTTTCTTCAAAATACTTTTCAACGACATCCATGCCAGATGGTGTGTTGTGGTGTTTGGAAATTGTTTAAAATAAGGTCACAAGGAGGGGGGCTTAGAATTAACCTACAGTAGAATGTTGTTGCTCTCAGCTCCACAGAACAGCAGGTCGTCTGTGTGAACAGTCATATCCAAAAACTACGACGTGCTCGAAAGCCACCGATTCTAAATGACTCTCTAAAACCTGGTTCAAGCCAGCGTAAAGGCTGAATTACCATCCATCTTGGAAATTCAAAATATATCTTCAATGAAAGAAGTCTACAGCAGGTGATTTTACTCGCAGTGTTCCCACTGTGCAAAGGACTGGGCTTATCTTGAAATCATTACACTATGGATGTTATCCTGGTGACCAAAGCTGAGCCAAACACCAATCATTTAGATAAGCTTGCATATAGCCTCATGTGACTGACCTATGGCAAATACTTTTGGTGGATTTCACCAGGCTACTGTGATCCCCAAAAGGTGAAACGGCCAAGAAGAATACAGCCTTTTTCTTGGCTCAGTGACCAGGGCAGAGGAGTGGTCATTAGCACCAGCCCAACAGAGGCAGCACTTAGCTTCAACCGTGACCGGCCCGGTTAGCACGCACCCCTTCATTTAGCGCTAAACAGTTCTGCAGATGTGGTTTTTCAAACCTCTAACTTGAGCTCTTCCTCTGCGCCTGCAGCACATCTCATAATTTAGACCCACACAAGTCTTCACTGCCCACAGCAGCAAGGGCGCTCTGTACTACGAGCATCTTCCCGGAGCAAACAGAGCGCCTGCATAGCGGCCCCACCCAGCCTATTCCAGCCAAGCAAGCTTTGCAGCAATAAGAGGCTTCCCTATTGAAACAAGGATATTCCTACGTCGCCACTGTGTGCATGGCGAACCTGTATGCAAAGACGGGCTAACAAGTAGGTGCTGGGTGTTAAAGCACGTGGTGTACTCATTTGTTCAAATACATGGCTAGTCTGGCATTTTTTTTATCTTCATAGGGGAGATTTAAGTGCAAGAACAAACTGACTGGAATATAGAGCGGATGAAATGATCGGTAGATCATACATGGTCAGAGACTTGGCTCAATGAGGTCTGACAATGCCACAACATAGTTATATATGTGCGTGTGTGTGTGTTGTGGAAACGGATAATCACCATACTACAGAAGCACCATAGCTTTGCTGATAAGCAGCAGGCCAGTGTGATTGGTGGGGCTCTTGTACTGGCTATCTATGGGGAGGCAAGCGAAAGGCAAAGCTCAGAGGCCGAAGAGCACCATCAGTGAGATGCAGGGAGCATTTATATAACACCATGTACCTCATGGGAGCTAAAAATAGTCCATTCCGGGAAAACATACACTTGCTTGTCCCATGTGTGACAAGTGTGTGTGTGTGCGTTTCCTTGGGGGCAACACTATGTGTGCAGGTTTAAATGAGTGCATGATTGAGTGTGGCTGTCTGCTAGGCTCGTCTGCTCTGGATCTCAACAGGGCTGGATAATCCAGGACAAAAAGGAGATGACAATCTGACCCACATAGGCCCGTGAATGAAGTCTGGACTCTTAAGCGAGGAGGCACAGACGAGATTAAGAACAGACCAGATCTGGACCAAGTTCCCCTTTCTGCCAGCCTACTATATGTGGTGCTGTTTATTTACACTGCGTGGAATAGTTTAGTTGGCTGCTAACCTGGTCACAAACAACACTTTACAGCAATAACGTGGGACAATCATTGTATTCTTGGAAATGGACCAATAAGAAAAGAAACCCTAGCATTGTGTCTGTAACCACACCTCGCAGACAAGCCTCGCGTTAACATTACAATAATGGCCATCTTCAATATGCATTTTACTCAGTTATTCAAGTCTGTCTATAGGCATGCTCTACCATCGATGTCAGGTGATTGTGTCAGCGACACCTCGATCAGTTACCAATGTTAGCAGAGTCAACAGGACGTTAAGCGAATGCTAAAACAGTGCAGATGCTCCCATATTGGTGGTATTCATGTAACGTTACACTTGTAATGCAGAGATGCTCGCAACAGCCATATTTTAGAATTAAGGCCAACTTACAGAGTGTGTTTCAACTCAGAATCCAAAGATGAACCATTGATGTAGAGGATGTAATTGACTGTGTCACTGTACCGTTAGCTAAAGAGAATTTAAATGCCAACACATCTTCGGCGAGGCGTGTGCTAACCTGCTAGCATGATCTACTAATTAACTGAAAGACGTTGCTAGTCTCCATTTACGTACGTTACCATATTTCACATTTCTGTGTCAAATAAACACTTACATTGACACGAGGCAACACCATAGACTGTATATAAGAAGGGTAAAGCATTCAAATCGTATCGGTTGTTCTCATGAAATAAATGCTAACCGTTAGCATCCACCCCGTTGATGTTGCTCACCCGGCAGATAGCGGTTCAGCCACATTCACTGCACTCACCTCTCTTTCATGAAGTGCTTGATTTTGACGATGGCCTTCTCGTCGATCTTCCTGAGGAAGGTTTTCAATCTCTCTCTCTTGTTTTCAAGCATTCTTCCCTCAGCCAGTGGTCGCCGGTTCGTGTAGAGAAACGACGCTTCCACGCCAGACCTCCACACCGTTCTTGTTTGGCTTCTGCTTTTTTTTTTTTTTTTTCTCTCCTCCTCCCTCCATCCACGGCTGATCAAGATAATGAGCCCCATATCGGACCAAGTCAGCCGTCCAATCAACGTAGCCGACGATTTGCGAAAAGTGGTCATGTCAGACCGGTTGTCCAATCAAAACGGGGTAGTTGGCTTTCACCGACCGCCCATTACCTTATATGGTAGTCATGTCGTCACCTTCTGAGACGTGAATGGAAGGGACCATATTGTTGTGTGCAGGTCCTTTTAAATAATGATTTGGGCTTATAATGATTTGGGCTTATA